GCAACATGAGCCTTTTTTCTGTCTGCAGTGATTTGGGATCTCGCTATAAATATTGATTACGTGTGAAATATTGGCAGAGGGAGGGCCCAGTTTTTTCATAGAGGAAAAAAAGGAGGAGGAAAGAGAAGAAGGGAGATGTGCTCCAAAGCTTCATCCTGCTTACCATTTTTAAGTTGCTTCTATTTAGAAATACGCTGTGAAGTGGGAAGTATAGCTGCAGTGACGGGTTTATGTTGTCAGTTGTTTTCATTTTCATCTCCCTTGCACATATCGACACAGTATATTTCAGCAGAACATCCACATCTGGTGTGAACATGAGTTAGGGAAGGATTCCCCCCTGCTAACCATCTGCAGTGGTTCAAGGCATCAACCTGCCAACAGCTGAAAAGCAAGAAGCCATTGCTGTAGTACAGTATTTCTTAAACTTGCAACTTGAAAATGTGCGGACTTCAACTCCCAGATTTCCCCACCAGCCTGCATCTTCAAATACCAAAGTAGAGAAACACTGCTCTAGTAAAACCAACTAATTAAATTTGCCTCCCTGCATCACTGCTGAGCTCCACCATTAATATGATATAGCCATGATGAATTGTTTTAATTTCCTTGTTCTGAAATGCTTCAATTATCTTTTTCCTCCTGCACTTTTTCACATCTAGCGTGGTGTTATGGTGAAGATGCTGCACTAGCACTGCAGAACCAGGTTTAACACCAGCCTCAGCCATACACTCTCTCCTCAGCACAATCTGCTTTACAGAGTTGTGGATTTAAAAAAAGAGAGACATCCCCATATACTGTGCTCAGCTCCTGGAAAGAAACATGAGACATAAACCTAATTAACTAACGGCAGAGTATAAAGGAGAGGCATATGAAGGTGCAGTATGAAAGAGACATTTTGACAGTTAAATCTGCATTGAAACAAACACCTTTGCTATGAAAGGATTCCATGTGTCTCTTCTGCATGTTGAATTATGCTGTAAAATGGGGAGAGGGAAGGTTAGGAAACAATGAAAAAGACTATTCATCTCTTCAGGCACAAGTGCCATGCCTGTCTTTGATACAGTAAAATAAGAAAGGAATTACTTTTCTTCAGCAGCCAATTCAGAGTCTTCTGAATATCTGCAAAAGTGAGGTAAAAATTAAAACACACCCCATAATCAGAAAGTGGACTTTGGAAACAACAAATGCAAGAAATAGGAAATACATGCTATATGAATTTTGCAGAAACATTTTAAATTGCTACTCTCCTTATTCTGGTCTTTGATCCTAACAAAGATTTCATTGATTGTAGAAATATGGCTGTAGCATCCTAATCGCTAAAGACATTTTCTTCCTACTGCTCCCCCTCACCTGTGGATGCAAGCATGTGCATTTCCACAGACCTCCAATCCCAATCTATGTCAAGCAACCTATGCTTTGAGGAGCTTCTTCCCCACTTCGGATTCCTGGACAGCTCAGATATATCTATAAAATTGTTTTGTCACCCTTATCAACAGATTTAAACTTTTATGATATAGGATAAGCCCCTTATTTTATGGGATAAATCTAGAAATAATATGTGTTCAGTCAGTTACTTTGGACTAGGTAGGCACCAAGTCTTCTAGTCCCTTGAAAGTAGCTGAAGAATAGCCTGTGACTCAGACAGTTTTATAAACAAAATAATGGGATAACTACTAAAACTATCAAAGAAAGAGCCAGTTTGGTGTAGTAGTTAAGGCATCAAGTTGAAATCGGGAGGCCATGTGTTCTGCTCCTGCTTTAGGCATAAAGCCAGCTGTGTAAGCATGGGCGAGTCTCTCTCTCTCTTTCAGGCCTAAGAAATAGGCAATAGCAAATCACTTCTGAAATTTTGCCAAGAAAACAGTAGGAACTCATCCAGATAGTTTTCAAGAGTCACTGACTGGAAGGCACAAAAACAAACTATTTAAAAAATAGACCATGTTTCAGAATCATGCAATCTTGTATTATGTAGTGGTTATAACACCAAAGTACATCAAATATCCAGTACAGTATTTTCTCCGAAAACAGAAGAAACAATTCCAAATATTCACACCAAATTCACAGCCAGTGGCCAAAATATTTATTGTGATCTTCTGAGTTCAGCGCCCTGTTTTTTCACTTCCCTTATTCCAATTAGATCTCCAAGTATTTGGGCTCATACATACAACTACCCATTGTAATTCCCTGGGATTTGATTGTCAAGTGTCCAAAATCCACTCATATGAAAGTAATATTGAGAACACAGTAATGGAAGAGTGAATATTATATTATGTGATTTATTTTGCTAGTTGTTAATACATTATTGTATTTATCTGCTTCACTCTGTTTTTGTTCTTTTAAATTTTGCTGGGCATTGATTTAATAAATATTGATTGATTGATTGGGAAGTCATCTACCACATCTGTGAGTTGCCATAGCTAAAAGGATGATGCAGCCAGTGGGCAAAGGACCATAAAGAATGCAAACTCACACATTGGTAACATGAGTGTTAAAAAAAGATCCAAAAAATGTCAGGCACTTCTTGACATTTATAAAAAGAAACCCTGTTTTTAAACTGAAGGTAGTTTTAGGGCATCTGAGAATGTCAAATATATCACGAAGTGTTTCATTGTATGGCAGGATTCAAGGAATGTATCTTTAGGATCTTTGTGATATGATGCATATCACATTTGTTCTTATTGACACCCAATTCCTTGCAGTCTCCACCTTGTCACAGTCTTCCACAAATATCTGCCTGCCAAGGGGGTTAGTAGATGCTTGTGGAAAAATGAGCTGTACCAAATGGTACAATTGTACCTGTATTGTGTTCTTGCTAGCATAATTTGCAATGAAGGTTAATGGTCATGATCATAAGCATATTTAATACCTGTCTGGTTGGCTTGCAGGACTATGGTACAAATGAATCCTACAGGTTCATTTTATGGGTTTGGACAATTTTCCAAGTCATAGGAAGACAAATCAGGCATTGCAGATTGCCTTTTCTCTAGTAAGGTATTTTCTTGCTCATGGTTTAAATTCAGCCCATTATCAAGAATAGAAATAGCTATTACACTGATGCCTTAATTGGGATGCATGTCCTTCATAAACTCATGTGTTCTGTTCTCTAATTCAGTCCAATTTGGGCCCAAATCATATCCTATATATAATTTTATTAAAAATTAATGAGTGGGGATAATGGAAAAGATAGGGCACAGCAGTTCTTCCTTCCCCTGCAAATGGAATGCTTAGTTTGGATTTTAGTGCATGTTCAAATCTCATTCAAAAAAATAAGTTTGACCTTTCCAATGTTTTTTTTCCCTTACGAAAATGTAAGGAAAATTCTGAAGGCAGGGTTTTTAAAAATCCATTTGCTTAACAAGAAATAAGATTTCTTTCCTGGTTCTTATTGTTATACTGGCCTATTAGGGCACATAGATATAGACATGACTGACATGTATTCTCATTAAATTTAAAGATGCTGGAATAAACACTTTTGCACATCTAAGTTTTGAAAAAAAGATTAAAAGCTAACAAAGAGTAACATAAAGTAAAAGAGAGAAAGAAAGGAAAAAATAAATAAATAAAAAGAAATATCTTTCAACGGGTGCAAAAAGAAAAAATATTTTTTTATTATCTATTTTTTCTAATCAACAAACAAATTCATTTTTTCTGTTTCTTGCAAAAAGTCTCTAAGGGGTTTCCAGTCAGCAATAAACATAGATACTGTCTTTTTCCTAATCAAGGAAGTCAATTTAGCCACCTCTCAAGTTCCATCATCTTATCCAGCCTTTCCTCCATTAAGGGTAATATCGAATCTTTCCACTTTTGAACATATAATAATCTCACTGCAGTTATCAGATGTAAAAAACAAAGTTCCATTTCTTTTTTTTCCAGCTGTCAGTCCATTTTTTTAAATGATACAAATGAAATTACCTTTAAATAAAAATAAGTAAAATAAAGACATAGAAGAAGCAAGTTGGGATAAGATATTTTGACTATAAATATAGTGGACAGCTAGTTAGTTACAAGCTCTACATCTCAAGAAAAGCTAATCAGGCATTCTTGCTTCACTTTCTCTCTATAAATGTATTACTTTGAGAGTTCAATTGAGGTTGTAAAAATCAACAACTTGAAGGGTATATCATCTTCAGTACCGTAAGACCCCTTGTTTTTTGGGGGTGGATACCTGGTCCATAATAAATTCTAACTAAGGAAATGTAATTGAGCAGACTATAATATCATTATCCTTCAAAAATATTGAGGTCTCCAGAGCTAAATTAACGAGAATCAAGATGGAACTACAAATGTTTTCTAGAAACTAGACAGTTTCTTCTTGTGAGAAAAAATGACAAATACAGGCAATCACTTGGCAGGCCTGGAGTCATATCCTTCCAGAAGTTCCTGGATAATCGGAACATTCAGAAAAGGATGTGGGGAGCAATTTAAGCTAAATAAATTTCTAATTAATTTTGCCCGATAAATTGGATTCTTCTTGCAATTTACCATGATATACAAAGAGATACCAAAGTTGTAACAAAACTATGATTCTCAAGGGTATTGAATGAGGGAAAAAAGACAATGGAATAGTTCACATTGATTTTCCTTTGGCAGGTGCCTTTATTAACAGGTAAATTAAATATGCGAGAAATGTATTACATTTTCCTTAAGGCAAAGACTATGGAATTTTAGTGGGCAGCCAACACCTCCTAAAAGTAGCTCATTTTTAAAGCAGATAAAGACATTTCCTAGTATTAATAAAGGGAATAATTATATTAAAGTATTTGTATTTAGGATCTTGTCATTTTGGACTAATAAATCATTGTCTTCTTTCCCACTATATTTTTAGCAGCCTCTGGCTCCTAGTCTGGTAGGAATTATGCTAATATAAATGCAATATTGTTCCAAGCTCTCTTCCAAAGACCTTGGTTCAACATCCTTTGGAGAAGCTTGAATAATACAGATGGTAATGCATATAACCAGTTATAACATGTTCTTCACTACTCTTGTTAATATTTTGCATTCAGGGTTGAAGAATGTTATGAAAAAAGGCAGATATCTGTTAAAACAAATGGGCCTTACCGAAGAGATGCCTTTGAGAAGTACCTGCAGAGAAAACAGACCCAAGATGTTGCAGCTGATGGAAGAGATGGTCGAGCAATTTTGTCCAAAGAGCAGAAGGGCATTGGTGCTCCTTCAAATACAGCAAACACTAACAGTCATTGGAACATCTTACGGCAGAATACGCTTGTCCACAAGCAGGGATATACCAATCACGCCATGGAAGACGAGAAGGAGGAGGAGGTTTATCATGTTTGAATGCATAGGCCCAAGTACCTCTGTGGAAAGTAACATAAACTGGGATAAAGAAACCAACATTTAACAAAGCAATGTCTCCATTCAAAAGTGTATTTAACAGACTTAAAGGACAGCTTCAGCATTTTCATAACACTGCACGCAATACTTCTGAGAGAGATGTATAGAATATATCTTCATGCTGCTCAGAACAACTGGTCAAAAGAATGATGGTGTACAATTGTTCCCACCAGCTGAAACTCACTCATACTTAGAAACAGGACAGTGAAATATAATGGTTAAAGAGCTAGATTAGGACTAGGGAGTCCAACAATCAAGACCAATCTCAGCTATGGGATGATGTTAGGTTAGTCTCTCTGCTCTCTGTCAATCTACCTCATAGGGTTGCTGTTGTGGGGATAAAATCAAGGGAGATCCTCACATAGGTTAACTTGAGTTCTTGGAAGAAAGGTGAGCTAAATGTAGCATAATATTATATATAGAAGTCAAACACTAATAAAGATGAATGCCAATGTGGATGTTCAGTGTTAAATATTTGCATTCCATGGGACAAGTAAACTCTACTTAAAGGCTCCAAAGGTATGGCTGTGAATTTAAAACTGGGAAATTGATCTGAGAGGTATAAGGTACATTTTAACATATACTAGACAGCCCTCATTGTTTCAGAGATATTTCCTTACCTAAAAAAGACGAAAAAGCATTAGGAGTAGGAGTGCCTTCCAATTTCCTCCTACATCTTTGTGGCTGACTGCCCTCTAGCAGTTGATGTTGGGACTCTTCTATACAGCCTCTGGAGGGATAGCATGGTACTGGTCTACCTGATCTCCAGGGGCCAAAGGTGAGGCCAGTCTACCCAGCCTCCAGAGGACTAGGGCAGGACCAGTCTACTAAACCTCTGGGCAGTGGTGTGGCAGCACTGAAATGACCATTCATGAAACGAATCATGGTTCTTGGACTTTGGACACATTCTGCAAGTTAGCCCTTTTGAGGTAACTTGGTTCAAAAATTGTTGTTCTATGAGACACTGTTTTGCCCGATTAAAGGACACAGACATAAGAATTTCATGGTATATAGTAGATTCATAAGGAAAATTTTAATAGAATTTTAGTAGACAATCAAGAAGGTTGCTAGATCAAGATGTGTGTGTTTTGTATTATGTATAGCAAAACTTGTATTAATTGAACAAATGGGGCAGGTAGTGTCTGTTATTCACAACAATACAATAAATATGCCACTGCAGGGAGTCTTCAACTTATGAGCCTGGAATTGCGTTTGTAAGTCATGTCACATGACCTTTACCTGATTTTACAACCTTTTTTGAAATGGTCATTAATATAAACATGGTCATTAGATGAACGCAGTGTTCAAATTAAGCAAATCTCTTGTCCCTAGTGGTTTGTTTGTTTGTTTGTTTTGCCGAAATGAGAAGTAAACACTGGTTTCCAGCAAAAAAACCAACGGCATAAATCTTGTTCACGTGACCAAGGACGTGGCAAATGGTTGTAAATGCAGTTTGGTTGTTGAGTGCCCAAAATATAATGATATGATCACAGAGTGCAGGCCATCAGAACTTTGAAACGAGGTTGTAAGTAGGTCTGTTGTAATTTTGAATAGTTGCTAAGTAACTGGTCATAAGTCAAGAATCTCTCTAGTATCACAACAATTTACTTAATTTACATTGTGAAATCATGAAACAAATGATATACATTGATGAAACTGATGTCATTTGCGTGATTTGTGTGACAAATATGTGATAAATTTGTATGACAACGGATGATGTAAATCACCACAGAGATTTAGTTTGTTACATGCAAGTTTAATATACTAATATCTGTTAAATCAAAGTTCTATACTATTGGATTTTAGTGCTCGTTACATTACTTTGGATTTTCTTTATCCCAGTTTTCTTTCCTTCTTTATTATCATTACTATCCAACCATGTTTCCACAATTGGTTTTGTGCCCACGAACCTCTCTGATTCAAATTCTCTGGCACTAATGTTTGTGGAACACTTGGAGCTTTCCACTTTTGAGTGGAAACTCCAAAATTTTTCCAAGCATGGTCATGAATATGGATCAGCATTGAAATGTTATCGTTGATCTGTAGGACACAAGATATAAAAAGGTCTCTTGATTCCTCTAAGAACAAAGACTCTTTTTCAGAGCTTCCCAGAAGTCCTTGCAAATCTTAGAGACTGGATGGTTGCTTAAAGAACATTGGTCAGTGCTTGTGGATATGGCAATGAGGAATATAGGTTCTCCTTTATCATTTAAATCCTGCACATTTCACCGAATTCCTGGCTGGCCTGGCCAAACACAGTGTTTCATATGTACCAGATCAGAACAAGAAAGGATTTGGAGAAATAGTTGAGTTGCATTATAAAATTCAAGTACATTTTACTCTTACTGTGCCAGTAATAATAGACATTAATCAAAGGGGGAAAGGCAAAATCAAGATGGGAGATATTGCTGCCCTGTATATCTTCCTTCTTCTTCTTCTGAAACCTCTGGTCATCTTGTGCTTTTTAATATTCCCATTGGAACATAACCATTCTTGCACTGTCTAGCTCTATTTATGAAGGGCAGCCTCCTTGAAAACAGCAGCCATCTAGTGGAAAAAATGCAGGGAAATTGTGACTCCATGATACCATATCACACATGAGCTTTCTTCATCTTACTGGAGACAAGTATCAGGGCTCCAGTAGTTACCTCCATTAACGTCAACTCATAAAATATTTCTGTGGTCTTTTAGAGTTACCAACAAGAAATGCTGTGGAACTGCCCTCCCCCCTTATGAAAATCTTGTTCAACTTGTTGGGAGAAGAAAATGGACTACTGCTGTTTTGCACAAGCTAATTTGGCATTCTAAAAGCAACTTTCTAAAAGCCTTTGAGGATGATCTTTATGAGCATGTCAAGGAATTATGTGAAGCAATCAAGCCCTATCTCCTAAGCTGCATCACTACCAAACCAAATTTTTCTATTTTGTTGAATACAAGGCTGTGGATTTTGGTTTTATCTTTCTAAATCTTGGTTATATATAACTTCACTGTTCACCCAATCCTTTCATTGTTCAAACTGCAAATTAAAGTTAGAAGACATTGCAGTCCAACTATACTACATGTGCAAAACATTCCAATATATTGATCAAAGAGTATAATAAAGGTTTATTTGACCTACCTATCAAATAATTTAATAAATTATGTTTATTTGTCCTGGAAAAAATGGTTGTTTTTATTATTTTTGTTTAATTCTTTTATCCTTGAATAAAATACAAAGTCTAAAACATTAGGTCTCAGATTTTCAGGCTGTAGGCTGCATGTACCCCTGTGGGGGTACATATTGTAGGCTGGTCACTTAAGGAAAGAGAGTACTTGCGAATAGTAACTCAACAGCTTACCTTGGGCAAACTGATGTGTCTCCTTGGAGCAGTGGAGCCTGGATAAATGGACCACACAGCCATAGCCAAAAATATTTTATTCCAAGAATTTTCATAATGCCTGGGTAAGACCACGCTTGGAATATTGTGTCCAGTTTTGGTTGTTAAAAAAGTTGTTGAGGCTCTAGAAAGACTGCAGGGAAGAGCAACAAAGATTATCAGAGGACTGGAGGCTCAAACATGAAGAATGTTTGGATACGTCTAGTTTAATGAAAAGAAGGATTAGGAGTAACATGGAAGGAGTGTTCCAATATATAAGGGGCAGTCAGTGTATTCTCCAAAGCCCCTGAAGGCAAAACAAGAAGCAATGGATGGAAACCAATCAAGGAGAGAACCAATCTGAGGAAAAATTTCCTGACAGTTACAATTAATCGGTGGAACAACTTTCCCCCAGAAGTTGTAGATGTTCCAATACTGGATGTTTGAAGAAGTGATTTGGACAGCCATTTTTCTGAAATGGTATAAGGTCTCCTACTTGAATAGTACTAGAAGAACTCCAAAGTCCCTTCCAATTCTGTTATTATGTTATTCCACTTGCTCTCATTGGGTGCTATTTCTGAAGCAGTGTTGGGCTATATGGATACTGGCATGGGAAGGTGAGGTTGGCAATATTTTCTGTGCTGGCCTGCAACAGCCTCCTTACTAAGCTGTCTGTGTCCTTGGCTGGCATCCTATCCTCACTTGCACCTCATGCAACTAGCTAGGGCTCTTGAAAAGTTCCTAAAACTGACAGAGTGAATCAAAGGGAATAGTAAGATTTCCTGAAACACAGTAGCATGGGGAGATAGGTTTTATGATTTCACAGGTGACCGCTCAAAGAACTTCAGTTACTGGTAACTAATCAATTCTTCTGTGATACATGCACATGGGAACTCTATTCTTGGTTTGATACAGAGGCAAGAAACTCTTTTATTAGTAAGCTAGAAAGAAATATTTTCCAATGAAGAAATAAAGGAGAAGGTGACCTCAAGCCATGGTTACTTCAGAGAAAGCCTGGATTTGTATTTTCACATGCAAGAGAAAAATTAATATTGCATGACTTTAAACTGGTGTTTCTAGGAAAAGAAAGCCCTCAAAGATTTCTATTAGTTACCCTTATAAAAGTCTTATAAGAATTCCACATAAGACCTTGTGGGACCATAGGAACAATTTCTCCAGACAGAAAGGCAGAACGAAGGACTTGTCTCTGGGTAAAACAGTGGTTCATTCCAGAGGGGGGGAAAGATTGGGAATATCCCAGCCTTATTATGGAAGGTTGTGATGGGCCATCACCCATGGAAATAATTCCCATTTGTAGGTGGCTTTTCTGCATGGCTGAGCTGCTTGACAAGGAAGTTAACTGGTCGTTGAATTGAACTGCCAGAATGAAGATGGAGTGATGGATGCTCCAGATCCAAAAGGTAATGTATGAAACAAAGATGGACTTTTTGTCACTTTCTTTGTATCCTAGACTATTCCAATATAACCTGGACAGTCTAATCATGATGACAATCTCAGAAGGTTCGTGTGGCTTGCAAGTTGAAAGATGTTCCCATATCACTGGCATATGTGAAATGCAGCCCAAGGGACTATTCAGCTAAGGACCTGATGCCTGGAGGATAAAAAAATGCCCTGATAAACAATTTAAATGATTTTGTTTTTAAAAAAAGGCTTGGAGGTTATTTAAAACAGCAAGAAAAAGTGAAGTATTTAGATAAAGAAAAAGGACAAAGAATTTAGGAATGAGCTAGTGTGATTGAAAAGTAATTCAAGGAGTTTAGTGTAATCCGTGTCCCATGTCTAGCCACCGTGTACACATGGTTTCCACTGCTCTAGAGGCTTCCAGATGGAGCTTCCAGACAGGCACCTAATTCCATGTCTGTGAATCACAGAGACCACAATGAAAAAACATTTAGGTATATAAGCATTTACAAAGCATATACAGCTGAGTTTGTAGCCCACTTTTCTTGTACTTGGGTCTTCAAGAAAGTTTTTAAATGCTGTAACACTTTATTCTCTGTTGATGTTGGGAAATACAGATGGTCCTCTGTCCGGAGGCCATTTGATAAGATGATTGTTTGTATTGTTCTGCCACTTGTTCAGCAAACAAGCCCAATCAGAGAAATAGAAAGGGAATAGCAGATTGGGTGTATTCTAGGGTGACTCATTGCTTGATTGGGTTTTCAAGCAGTGGGGCATTATTACCAGGTCAAAGACTGGCCACAGGAAAGACACAATTGTGTGTGACTTTCTCTGAATATGTCCTTGGAGAAGAAAAGAAAGTGAATGTCTCCCAGATACTTTTTGGTAAACAGTAAAAGAGTCACTGCTCATATTTGAAAAAAGTTGCTGCTTCAGTACAATAAGCCGCAGATGTCAAATTCCCACATGCAGATCTCAGCTCCATATTTAGAACCAGAAAGTCATGCTCCGGAGTTGAATAATCGTGTATCAAAACAATGTTCCCAGGAGTGTCCTAATTCCCACTGCTACGGCTGTGATGTGGGAAATGATCAGCATGAATTGAACAAATGCCATCTCACAAGTATTATATATACATTCCCACTGCAATCTGGATTCTCCAGCTAGCACAAAAGTACTCTGCAGTTGGGAATAAATGTAACCTGACAATAAATGAAAATATTTGTAGCTCAGGGCTGAAATGAGGGGTCCTTGGTGCTCTCTGAGGCTGCTTGTTTTTTTGGCAGATGTTTCATTACCCAAACTAATGGGTATTACTTACTGTAGCACTAGTTTGGGTAATGAAAGTTCTAATGTTTTACCACCAGATGGATTTGTAAATGGCTGACAAACTGTATTCAATGAGTAGTCCTTAATGCTACTACATCTATATGGAGGGAAGTAAGCAGTGGGGTACCACAAGATTCTGTTTAAGGCTCAGTACTCTTCAATAGCTTCATAAATAACTTAGGTGAGGGTATACAAGGGGAAATCATTAAATTGGCAGATGATACTAAGTAGGCAGGAATAGCTAGAAGATAAGCTCAGGATCCAAAAAGATCTTGACAGGCTTGAACAATGGGCCTTATCCAACAAAATGAAATTTAATGTGGAGAAAAACAAGGTTTTACACCTGAGCAGAAAAAACCAAAGGTACAAGTACATCTGTAGCCCAAATCTGACTCAAAAAGAGTAACTGTGAGAGGGACCTTGGAGTCTTAGTCAGGGGTGGGATTCAAATTTTTTAACAACCAGTTCTGTGGGCGTGGCTTAGGTGGTGGGCATGGCTTAGTGGTCATGTGACTGGGTGGACGTGGCTTGGTGGTCATGTTATTGGCTAGGTGCAGCCAACTCAATATCACTCACATCAAGGCACGCATCTCCTCACCTGGCCTCTCATGACTGTGGGGATGCTGCAACAGACGTAAGTGTGAAAAATGGTCATAAGACACTTTTTTCAGTGCCATTGTAACTTTGAATGGTCACTCCACACAAGCAAAGTACCAGTAAAGGGGGGAAGAAAAACTCCAGAGAAGTTCCTGAGACAGGAAGTCTAGTCCTGCCAAGAATGTAATAAGGGTTAACAAAGAGGCAGTTTCTGTAAGCAACACCAGAATGTTTCCTTCCTGCCTTCCTTACAGGATTAGGCCAATAATTTCTTCTAACCACCAGTTCTCCGAACTGCTTAGAATGTTAACAACCGGTTCTAGAGAATAGGTGCGAACTGGTAGAATCCCACCCCGGGTCTTTGTGGACGATCACTTAAACAGTGTGTGCAGCAATAGCCAAAAAAACTAATACAATCCTTGGTTGTATAAACAGAGGAATAGAATCAAAATCATGTGAAGTATTAATACCAAATATGGCATCCAGTTTTGGTCATCATATTACAAAAAAGATGTTGAGACTTTGGAAAAAGTGCAAAGAGCAACCAAGATGATTAAAGGACTGAAGACTAAAACGTATGAAGAATGGGTGCAGGATTTGGATTTGGCTCGTCTGGAGAAAAGAAAGACTGGGGAGGGCGGCATGATAGCAGTATGCCAGTATTTGAGCAGCTGCCACAAACAGGAGGGCTGGAATTTATTTTCCAAAGCACTGGAGGGTAGGACAAGAAACAAGGGATGGAAACTGATCAGGGAGAGATGCAACCTGGAATTAAGGAGAAACTTCGTAACAGTGAGGACAATTGACCAGTGGAATGGGTTTCCTTCAGTTATTGTGGGTGCTTCATCACTGGAGGTTTTAAAGACAAGACTGGACAGTCACTTATCTGAAATGGTACGAGACCTCCTGCTTGAGCAGGGTGCTGGATTAGAAGATCTCCCAAGGTCCCTTCCAGCTCTATTCTGATTGATTGACCCCTCAAATGTAACCTGGCTTTGAATAGCCAAAAATACAGTTTGCTGAGGATTGCAGCAGCCCATTCCATGCAAGCTGCTTATAAACTGGCGTTGTTTCCATGAGAAAAGTGGAAGTATGATGGAATTCTTGGCAACAACACGCCGTGTTCCCTTTCTTATTGCCCCACATGGCCTTTCTGCTGGGCCTCTCTTTTCCATCAGAAGATTTAAGGTTCCTGTTTTGTGCTCAACTAATATATAGAAGCAAGCATTTACTCCTTTCTTCCCCACTCCTGTGAGAGCGATAAAATTAATATATTGTTACTGTACTGTTGGAGGAAATAGAAGATTCTGAGCCAATTTGTTGGTTTTTTTTTAAAAAAAGAGTATCTCTTTGCCTTTTCTCGTTCTTTTTTCTCCAGGGTTTATCCTAAGCTTTCGCATGTACCTTATTTTCCATGCTAAGACTCCTTCCGCTTCTACAAAAAAAGCAA